AGGCTCATGATTATGTGAGGACTCATCCTCTGCACCCCACACTGCCAGCTCCTGGTCCTGACTTCCCTTCCGTGTCTCTGTCCTGTCCGCTTGTCTCTCCCATGGCCTTAGTGAAGACGGCTCACCTCCCTTCTGTAGTTCTGTTTTCTGTTACTACCTCGTTTTTCTCTTAATGTAAAAGTAACCTTTTCATTTTTGTTTACTTTCTAAAAGGTTTGATTTATTTATTTTTAGAGAGAGGGAAAGAAAAAGGGAGAGAAACATTGATGTGGGATGCACATGTGAGAAACAACATCCATCAGTTGCTTTTCGCATGTGCCCACCTGGGGACCTGGCCTGAAATCGAGTCATGTGTCCTGACCAGGATTGGACCAGTGACTGTTTGGTTTGCAGGACAACCCCCGATCCCCTGACCAGCACCAGTCTGGCTAAAAATAGCATATTAACCAGAAAAATATTGTCTGCCAAAGGCAGTAACTCCTTTCTGGCAAAAATCTTAAAAGCCTGCCCTGCCCCCAGCATCAGCCACGAAACAGCTTTTGTCTTATATTCACTGTTAAGTCATGTGCTTGGCGTGTCTCTTACTGGATACGTGTCCTATGTCTCAAGACAGGGGCTCCTTTCAGTACCCGAGCTATGCTGGGTTGGGACAGGCCACTTTAACAATCTCCCATTGATGGTCGTATGTGGGCTCAGTCTTTTGTGTGTCTTTGTGCCACAACACCACAGTGAGCACCCTACCAGGGCTCCTGGACAGCTTTCTGTGTGGGGTTGGGGCAGGGAATGGCTGCTGTGTCGTTCTTCAAGAAAGGTTAGAAATCTAGATTTTTCTATGTGAAATCGCCCAGTTTTTTAAAACACAGTGGGACAACTATCCACTCACGGTTGACTGCCCGGCACCCCCAGAGCTCCCTGTGGCCCATGACCTTTGGTCTGGCCTGCTGTGCTGTGGAGATGATGCACATGGCAGCACCCCGCTATGACATGGACCGCTTTGGCGTGGTCTTCCGAGCCAGCCCACGCCAGTCAGACGTCATGATTGTGGCCGGAACACTCACCAACAAGATGGCCCCCGCACTCCGCAAGGTAGGCCTGGCCCTGGCCCCTACCCTCTCACTGCCCAGGCTTGAGCCTCACGTAGATCCTGTCATCTCTTCCAGGTCTATGACCAGATGCCAGAGCCTCGCTATGTTGTGTCCATGGGAAGGTGAGTGTCAGGTGGGGCTGGGGCCACGAGCCGGCTCCAGTGATGAGATATACCTGTGACACAGTGGCATGTTTTTCCCTAGTCTTTTATCTGGGCTTGTGTCTGATCAAGGTCATGGAGGTGTAACTTAACAGTACAATCCCACTGCTGCAGAGACTCTGACACTTGTGCCGTGTGCACTCACTGTTCCGCAGAACATCCCTACTGTGGGTTATCATCACTCCCACAGCCCAGCAGCCCGTCTGACTTCTGTCTGTGTGCTTTTGAACACATGAGTGATGTCTCCCTCTGTCAACAGCTTACAGTCTCCTCGCCTTTTTAACCTGTTGTCATTTCTCCACATCAGTGAAACCCATTTAATCACTTATGTTTTTTGTTGAGATAGAATTCATGCAGCAGAAAGTTTTCCCTTTTAAAGTGTGCAATTCAGTGGGCTTCATTGCATTCACATGTTTAAAACATGTAAAACCATCCTCTCTGTCTAGTTCCCAATCATTCCATTACCCCAACAGTAAGCCCCATCCCTACTCATCAGTAGTAACTCCCTACTCTCACCCCTAGTCCCTGGCAACCATGAACCCATTCCCTGTCCTGTGCCCGTTCTGGACATTTCGTATAGATGGAATCACACACTGTGTGTGTGGTCTCTGGTGTCTAACTTCTCACTGAGCATCATGTTTTCAGGGTCCATCCATTAGCCTTGTTCTACCTGGTCTCAGGTGACTACTGCATTCCCAGTGGCTTCATGTCCCATTCTAGTCTTTTGGTGGCCTGGGCACCTGCTTGCAGTTGAAGGTGGCTGTGGGGTAGGAGCAGGACCCAGAGGAGGAAACAGGGCCAGTGGCCAGAGAGGCCCTCACAGCGCTGCTCCCCCTCCAGCTGCGCCAATGGAGGAGGTTACTACCACTACTCATACTCCGTTGTGAGGGGTTGTGACCGCATCGTGCCTGTGGACATCTACGTTCCAGGTAAGTCCCCTGCCCACGTCTCTGGGCAAGCAGGCCTTCAGGTTCATTCCCATAAAGGAGTCCCCATGCTCCTGCAGACACTGTGGGCTCTCCCTTTTTTAGGAATGAGCAGGTCCTGGCCAGTGTGGCTCAGTGGGTTGGAGGGTCATCCTGTAAACCGAAAGGTCGTGGGTTCCATTCCTGGTCAGGGCATGTGGTTAGGTTGAGGATTGGTCCCCTGTCGGGGATCAAATGCGAGAGGCAACTGATTGATGTTTCTCACATCGATTTTTCTCTCCATCTCTCTCTCCCTTCCCTCCCTCTAAAATCAGTGAGCATGTCCTCAGGTGAGAATTAAAAAAAAAGAGCAGATTTGGGTCTAAGAAAGGTAACACCCCAGCCTTTCTTTTTGTTGTCCCTTCATGGGCTTGCTGATTTCATCCAGGTACTGGTTGAGGCCAACATCAAGGGTTATGTTGAGCCGTATAGAATTGCTGGTACTTGGTTATTTTTAAGCTATAGTTTTATATGATTCCACCTAATAGAAACAAAATCAAAGGAATGCTATTGAAAAACAGAAAACAGGCCTTGGAGGACATGAACAGTGTCCGTGAGCTCTTGCCCTCACAATGGGTTGTGAGACCCTGCATCCCCCCACACCCCCTCCCCCCGCCCACCTGTCTGGGACCCAAGATTACAAGGGTGGCCAGATTCAGCAAATACAAATGCAGGGCACCCAATTAAATTTGAATGTCAGAAAAACAATGAATATTTTTATTATAAGCATGTCCCATGATATTCGAGATATACTAAAAAGAGTATCAGTGGTTTGTCTGAAGTTTTCATGTAACTGAGCAGTCTGTCTGGCTGCCCTATGGGACTCACATGCCTCCTCATCTGGACAGTCAGTGGGGGGTGGCCTCCCAGGCGCGTGCTGGCATGTGCTGGCATGTGCTGGCATCTCCCAAAGGCAGAGAAACAGGTTTCCATGTTGGATTGGAGCTCATTGGAAAATGGAGTTGATTTGTTTCACATTTGCAAATATTTATTGAGTGTTTTTCCTGGGCCTGGGCCTCACTTGAGCAACCCTGGGCCCTAGAGAAGCCTCAGCACCTGGGCCAGGCCCTGCAGGGTGGGGGGAGCAGAGCCTGACACAGGCCCGTCCAGCCCTCCTGTTGGGTGGCAGAGGGTACAGTGGGTGGGGCTTCAAAAGATGCATAGTGGTCCATCCTGCAGGCTTGTTAACCTTGACCAAGAGCCAGACTCTTGGTCAGTTACTGCTTGTTTATCCCATGACCTCAGGTAAGTCTCCTCTCTGAGCCTCAGTTTCCCCATCTATCAAATGTCCCGCTGTGACCATATTGTAGCCAGTGAACACTCCAGAGTCAGCTAGAAGTAAATGACCGTGGCAGTTCTTTATCTGGCCACCTGAGGTGGCAGGCCTGCCAGGTCCTGGCAATTCCTCCAGGTGGCAGCGTGTCCCTCTACTTCTTTCACCTGAGACATCAGGGACAGGGACTGTGAGGACTATTTTTCTGGGGTTTGCTTTCTCAGTCTGTGGGCCTTCCTGCCCCGCCTACCTTGCTGGCTACTTCCTGTGGTGGGCCAAGGTACCCAGCCCCTTCAGCGCATTTATGGGATGCTAGGGTCGGGGCCCATCTCAGCCCTCCCCACCCTGGGAAGTGGCCTGGATGTGGCCAACCAACCCTCAGCTGACCTGAAACTACTGGGTCACTCTTCCCAGGGCCCTGGGAGGCACAGGCCTTTCCTGCTCCACTTTACCTGTAGTTGTTGCCCCCAGCCAGACCATTTGATGTTCCTTCTGGTTCACTTGCCCTTTGCCAGACAGCATTGGGAGGGGTGGTGCCCCAGCAGGGCCCAGAATCCACTCACTGGTCAAGGGCTCCTGGCTGAGCCAGAGCTGTGGGCCCCTGCCCCATGGACAGAGACACTGAGGCAAGATCCCGCCCCTAGGCTGCCCGCCCACAGCCGAGGCCCTACTCTATGGCATCCTGCAGCTGCAGAAGAAGATCAAGAGGGAGAAGAGACTCAAGATCTGGTACCGCAGGTAGTGCCGCCTGACTACCACCCTGTGTCCTCTTCATCACCCCAAGAGATGGTCAATAAACCCAAGAAACCCACCTGGACCAGTGCCTGCCCTTGTGGTATATGGGCAGGGGCTCTGGGAGGTAAGGGGTGCTCACAGGGCAGAGAGCACCCCCTGTGCCTGGTGTGGATGGCCAAGTGCTGCCTTGGGCAGGGTCAGTCCTCAAAGATGCTCAGGCTCTGGAGGCAGTCCATACCAACCCCTCTTAGGGGCCTGCACTTGGTCTCTCCCAGGCCCCACCACTATGAAGGAGGGGAGGCAGATCATCCCCTGGAGCCAGGGAGGTCTGGGCTGCCTCCACACAGGGACTGAAGGGGGTGTTGAGTCAGAGGAAACAAGGCAGCAAGTGACACTGTACTCTGGTAGCTGAGGGTCCTGTGAGAGTCCATATGTAAAAGTTTTGCTTTATTTTGCTGTTCACTCTGACTAGATGGGACCAGAGACCCTTCTCAATAGCCCAAGGACCTGGGCCTGGAGCTGCTATATTCCCTACAGTTTTGACCTAGTTCTGTCCACCCTTGGGCCCCAGCTGCTCACCACAGGGAAGGAGAGGCAGCTGTCCTGGCTGGCTAGGGGAAGGAGCCATAGGTGACCTACTGGTGATGTCTCCCATGGACAGGATGGGGTTCATAGGCTACACATTGGAGCTGAGAGCTTGCCCACTGGCTCCCTGAAGGTTCATTTAACAGATTTCTTTTTCTGGAGGGACAGGAGGAATAAGTGAGAGTGCACTTGTGCGTCAGGCTGCTGATTGGCCAGCCCAGTGTCAGCATTTATTTTATCCCCCTGACCCTGGAAGAAGGCTGGTGTTAGTCCCCTTGCAGAGGTTAGGGAAGGTGGCCAGGGTCACACAGCTGGTGCTGCCTCAATTAGAACTTGGGCTGTAAGGCTGCAGCCTGAGCTCCTGGTCACAAAGGCACTGGGGTGGGAAGGTGGGGCAGGCCATGGATGGCTGAGCCTGGGGCCACCAGACTTAGTGCTTAGTGACCAGGGGTGTGATCATCTGTGGGAAGGCATAGTAGCGGCAGTCAGCAGGCGGGACCAGCTCCATCACCTGCGTGTGGATGTTTTCCCGCCGGAAGCCCGCCTCCAGCAGCGCTGGCACCTGTGTCTCCTGTCACAGGGAAGTGCCGGGTCATGTTCAGGCTGTGGGGCCTCATGCACATACAAGCACACACATACCTGGTGCCGACCCTTCCTCACACAGCATTGTTAGTGCCAAGGCCCCCAGGGACTGCAGCAGCCCCCACCCAGGTCCAACTGCTGAGACAACGCGGAAGCCCAAGACTGAGTAGTGATCCCCATGTGTCTAAACTGGGGTAGCAGCTTCCAGGCTGTCACAGCTGCCCAACTGCTTATCCTCGCGGGCAGAGGGAAGAGCTTGGTCAAAGGCCCTAAGTCAGGCTTGGCTGAACTAGCAGGTGTACCCTGGGTGGTGGGGGACTCAGTGAGGGGTATGGGTCCTGTCAGCCAAGTGGGAAGCTTAGGCTGAGTCCTTATGTCCCAAGGGCACTGGTGAGGGACATTGCCTGATTTCCATGCAAGAGGGCACAATCTACCCAAGAGAACAGCCCAGAGGCAAGGGACCCTCCCAGGTCACAGGTGACTATAGCTACCTCCCCAAGCTGCCTGGGGTAAGAGGGAGAGAGGTGGGCCCAGGGAGCTTTAGCTGCTGCACCTCGAACATGGTGGTGATGTTGGAGTACTTGGACTTCATCAGCTCCCCCCAGGAGGTAAGGTTGCAGTAGGTGAGGATGCCCCCTGTCTTCAGCAGACGAAAAGCGTGGGCCTAGGAGGGGGCCAGAGGTCAGGAAGATCCCAGAACGAAGTGGAAAGAGGGGTACCCTGTGTGTGGATGGTAGATGCCTCCACCCAGGGTGGTGCCCCCTTGTGGGGGCTGCAGACCCCACTCCCCTGCAAGGTCCTACCTTGATGAAGTTGAACTGGTGCGTGTGCCAGGTTTCCTCAGACAGTGGGTAAGTGTCGTACAGGATCCCTGCAATGAGAGGACAGAAGCCATGTGATCAGGGCCAGCGGCAGCCATATCAAGACTGGTTGCACACAGAGGTGGAGTTGAAACATGACCTAGGAACCCCGGCTGCTGTATCCCAAGTTCACTAGACTACTACTTCTGGCTATCATGCAATTCAGTCTTCCCTTTTAGGTATCATCACCCTCCCGCTGAGTGCCAAGCCTTGTGTGTCTGCCTCCCCTTGCCCACCCATGCTCTGTTGCCCCAGTGACATGTCCGTAGGTGTGTTCTTTAGAAGGCCCCTCCACAAGTGAGGAGGAGACTCAGGCAGAGGCTCCCTTCACCCAGTGCCCAGAGCCCTCCTCACCATCAAAGTGACCATCTGGCAGAGTGGGTGCCACCTCTTCCCACAGGCCTTTCAAAGGAACCACCTTGGGGCAGGTGAGAAAAAGAAGACAGGGTCAGAGGGGTCTCCAGGACTTCTCCACTGTAAGGAGGGGCAGAGGAACTTCCGAGGACAGCCCCCCTCCCCCGTGCCTGAGACCGCTAGGAGTGGGTTGGGGGCACTTATAGGCAGAGGTGGCACCTTGTGTGGCTGCTGCTGAGCCCAGTCCTGGAGCCGCTGGAAGACTCCGTCATTGCACTCAATGATCCAGTGCTCATCGATGGCAGCTTCCTGCACCTTGGTGGCTGCAATGGCCATGCCGAAGCCCACTTCCAGCACCCGGCCCCCTGGACACACAAAAGGCCGGGGCTGGGAAGCTACCCGGAGGAGGAGGCAGCACAGGGGCAGTGCCTTGGGACAGAGAAACTAGGACAGGAGGGTACAGTGGGCATAGGAGCACAGTGGCCCTGAGAGGGAACAGCGTGGGCCCTGGCCAGCAGCCAAAAAGGGATGGCCTACCAGCAAGGCCACAGAGCAACTTTTGGGCCCAGGGAGGGGGGTGGGTGGTCAGACCCTGGACTTTGAGCCTGGTTCTGGCTGTACACCAGTGCCAGTGGTGGCATGCCACCGGTGCAGCTTATCTCTTGGTTGCATTTCTCCCTCCCTCCCACCCTCTTCTCCATGGAATTCTCAAGAGAAGAGAAAGGGAGGACTAGGACTCCAGGCTGGGGCCTAGAACAATCTGGGGGAGTACTCATTGCATCACAGACGAGGCCTAAGGGCCACACACACAACCCCTGGGGACCTGAGCACCTCTAGGGCCCTGACACCAGAGCACAGTCACCCGGCCACAGCTGTCTCCAAGCCTCAGCTTTTCCAGAGTTATTTTTAGCTGGACTGGGTAGAATGTTCCCGCTCAGGTGCTCCTCACATGTGCTTGGGTAGCACCCACTGCCTGCCGCCACCCATCCCTGAGGTCAGGCGGCTGAATTCCACCGGAGGTCCTGTAGCTGAGGACCCATTTACCCTGGAGAGGAAGTTCCCTGTACTTACAGAGTGCCTATTGTGCATGCGCCGTGCATGCAGCACTCCTTTTATTTCCCCCGCCATCCCCCTACTCCCACATTCCCCACACCCCTCAGCAGCTCGGAAAGAGGCAACGAGAGACTCCAGTGCACATCTACGGGAGAGCAGACTGGTACTGGGTCTGGTCTCCCCTGGGGGCTACACTCGGGCAGGGTGCTGAATTACCTCTGGAGGTGGCGGTGGTCGCCAGGGCATGCATATAGGGGGTCTCCCAGCGCTCCATCACGGGCTTGCCCAGGATCTGCAGTTGCGTGTCTGATGCGTCGTAGGACGCGGGTGCTGACAGCCACACAGGCTTGCAATTCTCACCAGGCACGAAGATGGGGGTCGCGGCGGGGGCACTCATCGTGCAGGCTGACTGGCACTGCAGACTCAGCTCCTGATGAGGAGGGTTGGTTCCGGCAGGGCCTTCTGGACCGGGATGTGTGCCCTGGATAGACGGGGGTGTTGCTCAGGGCGTGACGTGAGGAGGACGGCCGGAGCGGACTGTGCAGTGCTTTGAGTGGTTCGAGTGGCCCCTAGCGGCCTCAAAAGAGAAGACAGCCCCACGTGGGGCTGGACGCCCACCGACTCCCCCTCCTTGCAGAGCCTCCAGCACCTTGTCCGGGAAAGGAGCACAGCAGCAGGGAGCCCTCAGGGTCCAGAACCTCTCCTTTTCACTCTCCAGCCTCAGTTTCCTCATCTGTCACCTCCTCAGAAGGCCCCGCTTTCCTTGCTGGGGTGAGAGGGTCTAATGATTTTCCTGGTGTTGTTGGAAGTGCTTTAGGTATTTAGGTATCAATCTTCAGAGATGGTGCCGTGGGTTGGGGGTGTCCTCATTATTGTCTTCATTTCACAGATGGGGAAACTGAGGCTCCAAGAAGCACAGCCAGCAGTCTCATGACCACAGGGGTGGGAGGGTGAGGACAAAGGATTAGAGCCCTGATAGCCCCCAATTTCCACCACAAGCTAAGCTGCCTGTCCTCTTTCAGGAATTCACTTCACATCCCCATAAGCTAGGGATCACTTGAAAACCCAGTATCCTGATAGGGGCATTCCTTGTGCAGAGACCTGCAGTTCTGGGGACCGAAATGCTATTCCAGCAGTTTGCTGTCTCTCACACCCAGGAAGTCTGGAAGGGCAGTCCTGCAGTGACATGGGATCGAAGCCTTGTTCCCGCGAGGGCAGCCCCTTGGGGACAGCTGCATCTTCTATCTGCCTGCCAGGGACATACCCACAAGTGCTGGCCTCCAGGCTCTGTAATATGACTCCCTTTTCCCAACCCTCTGCACACTGAACCACCAGTCACGAGCCCTGAACACTCCATTGCACAGGTGGGGGAAACAGGCTCAGAGACACCACGGTCACAGGTTTTGAACCCAGGCAGCCTCTTAAACAGCTCTCTAGTTCAGTCTCTTCCCTGCACCTCCGTGTCCATCTCTCACAGCCCCGACTGACCAAGCCCCACACTCCTCGCCCCAAACCCTGCCCACCTACCACCTGCAGAGCTCCTGTGTGCCTCCTGCCCCTGGGCCTTTGTACACGCCCTTCCCTTAGACTGGACAGCTTCTTCTTTCTCCTGATCCAGTGTGGGCTTCACGCTTCAGCCTGTACCTCCTCTGGGAGGCCCCTAGGCTGTTTTATCTCAGAGCACGTCTTCTTGGCACTTCACTAACTGAAGGTATTTATTTCGTCATAGCTCTATTGTTTGTCTGATGGACTTGGTGCATAGAAAGTACCTGCTTGATGAATCCTGAGTGTACGTTGGGATCTAATGCAGTTTGGATGTGATGCCACTGATTTCATGAGAATCTCAGGAGGGGGCAGGATGAGTAGATGTCATCAGACACCTGGGTTGGTCTTTGCTGCCTTTCACCTCATATGAGTTCACTCAGTCTGGTTTCCCCACCACCATCTACTGTCGTGGGCACTGTGATGGACACTTTGCTGGCCTGTCTCCCTGCATCCTTGGGCTGCCTGAGGGACGTGGCCCAGGATGCTTCCTTATGCATCCTGTGTAAACCGGTGGCACTCGCTAAATGTCACACAACTCAAGGGATGCCCTGGAATGCCTGTCTGATACAGAAGGAGGAGGCTATATTCATTCCCACTTGCTATGTCACACCCCACCCCACATGAAGCCACTAAAACAAGTCACATTCATGATTTCAGTTTCTACAGGTCCAGAATCCAGGCTCAACCCAGTTGGGTCCTCTGCTCACAATGTCTTATGGGCTGCAGTCAGTGCACCGCTGGTGCTGAGGCCTCATCTGAAGGCCCAGTCAGGGAAGGGTCCTCTCCAAGCTCATTCACTGGTGGGTAGCAATCAGCTGTTTTTGGGCTGTGGGCCCCTGGGCCTCAGTTCCTGGCCACATGGGCCTCCTCAATGAGACAAGGTTCTTCATCAGAGCCAGGAAGAGAAGGACTGCTAGCAACAAGAACCAGCACCCTTGCCCTGGCTGATGTGGCTTAGTGGTGAGTGCTAGCCTGTGAGTCAGGGGGTTGCCAGTTCAATTCCCAGTCAGGGCACATGCCTGGGGTGTGGGCCAGGTCCCTGGTGGGGGGTTTGCAAGAGGCAACCACACATTGATGTTTCTCTCCCTCTCTTTCTCCCTCCCTAAAAAATAGATAAATAAAATCTTTTTAAAAAAAGAACTGACACCCTTTATGAATTTGTATGCAACAAACTCCAATCGACATTAGATGAAAAGGCAGAGCGGGGGCAGAATGGAGAGTGTGCTGCAGACCATGACGGGTGTGCTTGGAGGTAGGCCGGGGCATTGTCTCGCAGTGGAAGGACACTCAAGGAGTTGGGTCATTGCAACCAGGGCACTGTGGGGGAGATTTTAATATGGGTACACTTTTAAAAAATATATAATCTTGTCTGCCTTCAGGTTTAAGGTTTTCTTTTTTTAAGACTTTATTTTATTTATTTTTAGAGAGAGGGGAAGGGATAGAGAAAGACAGGGAGAGGAACATCGATGTGCTAGAGATATGCTGATCGGTTGCTTCTTGCATCCCCCCAGCTGGGGACCTGGTCTGCAACCCAGGCATGTGCCCTGACTGGGAATAGAACTGGTGAGTTTTTGGTTCACAGGCCAGCACTCAATCCACTGAGTGACACCAGCCAGGGCTGGGTACACTTTTTATTGTAGTAATATACACATAACATAAAACTTACCATCTTAACCATTGTTAAGTGCACAGTGGCATTAAGGACATTCATTGTTGTGCAACCATCTGACCACCTATTAAACACTAATTCCCCATCCACACCACCCCACCCCTGCCTCCCACTATCTACTTTTTGTCTCTATACCATTGATTCCTCTAGGGACCTCCCATGAGTGGGACAACACAGTATTTGTCTTTTGGTGTCTGGCTTATGTCACTGAGCATCATGTTCATCTACACTGTGGCAGGTGTCAGAATGTCCTTCCTTTTAAAGGCTAAATCATATTCCAGAGTGTGGATGGACCACGTCTCACTTGTCTGTTCATCTGTGCGTGAACACCTTGGTTGTTTCCACCTTGAATCAGGCTTCTGTTTGAGTCCCAGCTTTCAATTCTGTGAATGTGAAAGAGGTGGAGCTGCTGGAGTATATGGTGATTCTATGTTTTTGATGTTTTGAGCAACAGCCAGACTTTCTACCCAGGCCTACCCTCCATGCTTTTAATCCAGTCCAGAGGGTTCTCACCCTACTGGCCAACTGCATACACCACTGGATGATATCATAGGGTCTTCACTCCATTGGCTAACTCCATATAACCACGTGACCCCCACCTTAGCCAATCAGGGCTTTCACTACCTTCTCACAACAATTGATTGAACAATGGCATGTGACTGGAATAGGGCCAATCAGAACCTTCCCTTGAACTTTTGCTGCCTCTCTTAGGTAAGAAGTGCTGACATGCTGAGGCTGCTAAGCTTATGGGGTTATTTGGTCTGGAGCTGTTGGCACCATCTTTGTCCCCACAAAAAGTGAGACTATTGAGGTAAAAGCCAAGACAGAGGATGACAGAGCCAAGAGATGGAGAGGTGGATAAATCTTTGAGGTACTGTTTGAAGGTCCTAGATCTGGTTGAGCCTGAAACCAGCTGGACCAGTGTGTCTCAATCAGGCTCAATTCTACCCACCAGGGAACACTGGGTGATGTCTGGGGACATTTATGATTATCATGACTGGGGGGTTCTCCTAGCATTGCACGGGTGGGGGCCATGGATGCTGCTCAACACAGAGAACCATCTGATCCAAAATGTCAGCCATGCTGAGAGGGGGAAAAAAACCCTGAGTTACATCTATCCCTGGACCTTTCAGTTCCATGAACAAAAAAAATCCCATTAAAAAAAAAAAAAAGCTGGTTTCAGTTTCTGTGAGTTGCAGCCCAAAGATTCTAACCAATATGGGGGGTAAGACACATGCGGGGGGGGGGGGGGGATGGGAACTGCAGATGGTTGGCCTGGGGGAACTTCACCTCCATGAAGCACAGCAGCCTGGGTAAGATCAGGTGGGAGGACATGAGTTAGGCCTTATGAGTTGATTATTTTTTTTAAATAGGCTTAGTTTTGCCTTGGCTGGTGTGACTCAGTCGGTTGGGGCATCATCCTGTAACCAAATGATTGAGCGTTCAATTCCCAGCCTGGGCGCATACCTAGGTTACGGGGCCGATCTCTGGTCCAGGTGCATATGGGAGGCAGCCAATCGGTGTTTCTCACGTCAATGTTTCTCTCTATCCCTTCCTCTTTTGAAAAAGGCAATAAATGTCCTTGGGAGAGGATAAAAAGGTAAAATAATAAAAATAAAATAGGCCTCATTTTAGATTTACAGGAAAGTTGTAAAAAATATGGAGAAATATCTGGCACACCCTTTGCCCTATTAACATCTCATGTCGGTGCGGACATCTGCCATCAGTACGTTATTACTATTCCCTGGAGTCCCCAGTACTGTCAGGTTTCTTCAGTCTTCCCTTAATGTCCCATTTCTGCCTCAGGACCCCACCCGACATTTCCTTGTAGTGTCACCTTAGGCCCCTCTGGGCTATGATGGTGTCTCAGACTTGCCTTGTTTTTGATGATCTGGACAGTCTTGAGGACTGCTTCAATAGTTTCTAGAAAGTCCCTCAGTTGGGATTTGTCTGTCGTTTGTCTTAGGGTTAGTGAGACAAGGTGATGGATTTTGAGGGCAAGACCCCGGAGGTAAGGTGCCTTTCTCATTCCGTCAGAACAAGGGTCCCTGCTGTCCACGCAGCTGATCATACATAGTCAATGGCCCCAGAACCTCTCGAGTGTGGGGCCTGCTGATCAGAGCCAGGACTCTGACCTTGAACATTAGCAGGTCTGCAACTTTAGTATTAGATGTGAGGAGGAACCCTCTGTGACATCTGTCACTCCTTTAATGGCCAGGGTTATTGTGTGTGTGTGTGTGAAATTCTCATACGATGAATCATTTTAAAGTATACAGTTTAGTGCCATTTAGTACATTCAC